TTGTTCCTGATTTTAAAGTGGAAGTTTTCAGTTTTTAACCATCCAGTTAGATGTTGGCTGTTGATATCTCACAGATGGCTTTTACCAAGTTCCTTAGTTGTCCAGTCTGGGCTCAAATTTGCAATAATCCTGCCTCAGCCTTCCAGAGTGATAAAATTACAGGCAAGCAACACCACTTCTGACTAGGATATAGGTCATCATAAAACTTTTACACACTGAATTAGTCTCTTATTTTTGGACTTTATTGTAACAAACTTAAGTAATGTCTCCTACCATGCATTAGAAGACAATTATTAATATACAATTATCCATACTGAGTTTGGGCATAGCAGAATTTCTAATTGTGATACATCAATAGAATTCTATATTTTCAGGATTTCTAACCAACCTAAAACAGTTATGAGACAAGTTGATGGGTACAGTACCTGAGACATGAGTAACTATGTCATAAAGTAGTACCTCTGTCTTTTGTAAATTAATGTAGCCTGCTCAGAAGTCAAAGGTGTAGTCTACATCAAACAACAGGGCTTGGCAAATGGCTTTACAGAAAAAATAAACTAGATCTGGTGTTATGAAATTCAGTGACTGAAATTACCGAACTAGTTCCTCTCACAAGCACTCCATTTATTAGGAAAATATCTCAAAATACACATAAATTATTGTTTATGATCTAGGAAGCATTTGGGTTTGCAAAAAGCAACTCCAAGAAGAAAATGTCTACAATAGTAAATTACCATAAATCAGCTTGTGTTTTTCAAACATATCATAAGTACTGAGGAGAGGAAATATTTGGGAGAAAAATTAGAAATCTGTGTGCCAAAACCAGCTTTGTGACTTCTGAAATTGTAAATTAATGTTGTCAAAGTGTTTTCTGATGGAGTGTGAGTGCGATTAAGAAGCACTGTTCCTTCAAGGGAGATACTACTATAATGATGAAAATTTCTCCTGTATTTGAAATGTCTTCCCAGTCAGTAGTTTCCTCATACTTCCCTGACAATGAATACCAATAAAAACAGAGTTTTAGAATTACAGTCGTAAAATATAATATGACAGGAGCATGTCGAATTTTATTATATTAGTTACTTGTAACATAGATTGTTATGTAGTGCCTCTGGTTAGGCACTTAGCATGTGCAATGTTTCACTTAATATGAAAAGATATGAAAAGGAAGCAGTTTTATCAGATAAAATAAATTCTATTCTGAACTGATAAAACAAACGATGCAGTAAACATGTTCATAGGTTGAATGTGTTTAATACCACAACATCCTCTCAACTGAAACAAGAAAATACCCAGAGAATTAACTAATTTAATGTATTTTATGCTTTTTTAAACAAATGTTAAAGTGCCTTTTATATACTGTAAGACCAGTTCTCCAGCTGGAGAGAATATTGCCAGCCTATTTTAATGATTTTATGGTAAGGAGGCTTGCTGTTTTTTTAAAATTTATTTTAAATATGTTTATTATAAGAGAAACAGATTTAATGCAAGTTATACAAATACTGTACATAAGAATTTACAAGATTGGCTTACAGTTGCCATGTGCAAAGTGAGGTGCATAAAAGTGCAAAAGGGATGTCAGGAGGATCCAGTCCAAGGCCTGGAGCTCAATGTAGTGTCCCATGGGAGTCTGTATCAGGAGGCTGAAGGGTCTGCGATGGAAGACCAAAGGGTCTGTGCCAGAAGGCTGAAGGGTTTGTGCTGGAGGCTGAAGAGTCTGCTGGCTCTCCAAGGCAAAAGTGAAGATGGGAGCTCCTCCAAAGAAGCAGAAGCAAGGCTTCATTCTTCGTTTCCTTCTTTTTTTATTATCCATTGTTTATTAGTATATTTTATGTATACAATATGATGACATTCATCATTGGGAATTTGTACCTTTGCATGATGTATCTTGGTTCTTATTTTTTCCCCATTCCCCTGCCCTCCCTTCAACCTCTCCACTCCTCGCTATTTACAAAGACTTTGTTTCCATTTTTTCATTTGCTCATATTTTTTCCTTTCCCTTCTTTCCTTTTCTTTACCCCTCCACTTCCCCTTTCCCTTCCCCTTTGGACCTTTTCTTCCTATTTCAAATTATCTATTATACATTTTGATCCTCATTAACATTTTCAGTTTCCTTCTTATTCCATTCAGGCGGCAAGCCAAATGGTTGCTGTGCCTCACACCCAGGGTATGTCTTCTGTCTTCAGTAAATCCCTTTAGCCACACTGAGCACTATGATAATTCAATTTATTTATATTTATTTATTTATTTTTGGTACTGGGGATCTAACTCTGAACCTTGCGTTAGCAAGGCAGGTGGCAGCAACACTGAGCTAAATCCCTGGCCCTCAATGCTGATTCAATTTAGAAGGGTATTTCTTACTCAAGTTGACACAGTCAGTTAACTACCACATTTATTTTTCATTGTAAATTGACAGATTAGAGCTGTATATATTCATGAGGTAGAAAGTACTGTTATCATTCATAATTACTCTGTGGAATAAGTAAATTAAACTAATGTACCCTTCACCTCATATACCTAGTTTTTGTGGTAGTAACACTTTAAATTTTCTTGTTTGGTTATTTTAAAATGTACATTATTGTTTTCTATATTTACCACTTATAATACGTAGCTTTTGAAAATTATGTCATTTGTGAAAATGTGAATGGAATAGGACACTATGTGAAATATGTCTGGTACAGAAACACAAAAAAACACAGTGTATGTTATTACTTATATGTACGTCTAAATAATTTAACTCAAAGAAGTGGGCAGGGGAATGATGGTACTGTTCAAAGGTCATAAAACTATACTTACCTGGCAGGGACGATACCGTACAAAAAGAGCATAAACCTTTAATTAGAAAGGAAGAACACAGGAGTAATTTTTTGTTTGGTTTGGTTTTCCTGCCTTAAAATATGTTTGTTGTTTTTTTTGTTTGTTTTAGTTTTTGTTTTCTGAAGTGCTAATGATCAAATCTAGCAAGAGTGCACTCTTTGTAGCACTGAGTTACACTCTCAGTCCTCCTATTTTTCTTATAAGTGATAATATCTCATTGTGTTACCCAGGCTGACTCAAACTGGAGTCTCTGGCCTCAGCCTCTCATGTAGCTGGAACTACAGGTGCCTGCCACCATGCCCAGCTATATACTTTGTATTTTTAATCAGGTTTACTGATATATAGTTACCATACAATAAAATTCACCTCTTTAGGTGTACAAGTGGGTGAATTTTGACAAATGGACATAGTTGTGTAAACACCACAACATGTTTATTCTTGCTAATGTAAACTTGGATCTTTTCTAGTTTGGAGCTATTATGAATATAGCTGCTGTAAATTTCCATGTGTAATTATTTATTAATATATGTTTTCATTTCCCTTGCCTAAATACCTAAGAGTAGGAAAACTGGGTGAGAAGGGATATGTAGAGTTACATAAGAAATTGCCAAAGTGTTTTCCATTGCCAAAGTGTTTTCCACAGTGTCTGTACTATTTTACACATCCACCAGCAATATATGAGACATTACTTGTTCCACATTCTCATCAATACATGGAATTGTCAATCTCTTTAGCATTAGTCTTTGTAGTATATTAGTAGTAGTATCTCATTGCGGTTTTAATTTCCATTTCATTAATAGAAAATTACATTAAATATATCTTCACATAATTATTGGTCACATATATTTTCTCTGATGTAGTGTGTGTTTAAATATTTTGCTTGATTTTTAGACTGCTGTGATCCTGTAATTGGGCTGTAGGAGTTCTTTATGTATTCTGGAAGCAAGAATTTTTTTTAGATGTGTGAATTGTAAATATTTTATCCTGATATGTAGCTTGTGTTTTCATGCCATTTACAGTGTACATTTTTGTAGATACAAATGTTTCTTATGAAGTCTTCTAAAGTTTCATGCTTTTTGTGTTGCATTTAAAAAATTGTTGCCTTACCCAAGGTCACAGAGATTTCTTTCTATTTTTTTGCAAAAGGTTTATATTCTTAGATTTTTAGGTATAGAATCCATTTTTTAATTAAATTTTGTCTGTGATGTGAGGTAAACATTGATAACCTATTATTTGCATGTGGATTGTTCAAGACTTGTTTAAAAATCTCTACTTTCTTAGTCCATTGTCTCACACCAGCACCTTTGTCAAAAATCAATTAAACATATATGTGCGGGTCTATTGCTGGGATCTGATCTATTCCATTGGTCTATATGTCTACCTTTATATCAATACTATATTTTTTGATTATTATAGCTTTAAAAGTAAATCTATCAGAAGGCTTTTATTTTTATTATTCAGTTTGTCTCCTATGGTCCTCAGAGCTAGAACTTTAAACTTTGGATTACCAATGTAACATATAATTTACTGATAAGTAAACATAGTCACAGAAAAGGTAATTGACTTACCCAAATTTACATAGTTATCAGTAGACCTAACACTAGAATACTCCTAAAGGCTATCCCAGTATTTTGTTCCTACAAAGGTAGCAAAAACACTGACAAGTCTTTTATCAGTGGTACACTTGGAGATAATTTCTAAATAACAGATTTTATTATTGATAGGGAGATGAGCAAGCTAATTACAGTTTTGGTAATTTCAATCATTCCTTGATACAAAATAATGTTTTAAATTCTCAGTATCTGGCTTTGTAAATGAGATGCTCAGCATTAGTGCATCTGCTGTTGCTTCAGGAGTTAGTTTGCCTCTATTTTTAATCTTAAAACAAACACTGATTAGGTATGATATGGGAGGGATCTTTCCAAGAAGATAATTATTTCTTTTTTAACTGGAATTTATTTGATTGTGTTTTTAACCTTACCAAGGTGGTGATTTATTTAAAATAGCAGCCTTTGAGTTAACAGGATAATTCTTTTCTGCAATTTATATCCCTTTAGGCTAAAATGTTAGTTTCTTTATTTTCCCTCTAATTTGATTGCTTTTTAGAGTTTTATTGTGCATCAAACATGTATAATCCTAAGTTTACATATGGTAATTTCATTGTTCAATGTTTCCTTCTTTAGAATGAAGAATTCAGATTCATTGAAAATGAACTAGAGATTCAGAAGCAAAAGTATTTTAAACTTCAAACTTTTGTTAGAAGCTTGATATTAGCTATGAAAGCTGATGATAAGGAACAGCAACAGGTGGGTTCCAGAAGAAACTAGGAAACTACAATGTATCATGTTGAAAAATGACACACCAAACTTCATAGCTTTTTATTTTTATACTTCATTCCTGCTTGCCACAGAGGAATGGTTGTTACTTTATGACTACTTTTAAACACAATATTCTTGAGATAGGTGTTCAGAATTTTTTTACGTTACTAGATTTGAAAATAAAAATAACTGATTATCATGTTTTATTAATTCCAAGACAGACTTTAGGGAAGAACTAATTTCAAAATGATTTTTTAAAATGCACTCAAAAGGTTTGTAGAGACAGGGGTACCTTAATGGAAGAGGCACATTGTAGGAACATTTTGTTGATGCAAGAGGTGAGGCATTTATTTAGTTTTATTTGGATCTTAGCTATCTACAAGCCCTTACTATAATTCACGAATGTTTAGGTACCTTTTATTCTATGATATGTTGCTCATCACTGAGAAAATATAAAATTACTTTGTGAAATGTTTTGTGACCATGAAATGTCACTTATTTTCGAAAGTGTTTGAGCCTTCTGATCCAAAGATGAAATCTTTTATTTGTTGCTATGAATTTTTGTTCATAAATTCTTCCCAAGTTACATATTCTGTCTCATATTTTCATGTGAAATCTATATGACAAATAGGTTTGCAAAATAATGATATTATATTAAATGTTGCATTTAACCCTAAATGATACCAAATTTGCCTCTAAGCTCTATTCTACCATGTTGACTCTTTATTAGAGAATTTCTATATGAGTAGCCTGAGACACAGGTAACCATTATTTGGGAAGCAGTATCAGAGTTTTTTATCCAGCAAGAAATATGAAAAGTACAAAAATTTATTCCTTAAGCCCAAACAAGACTGCACATGCATAGCCTGTTCAAGATATCTCCAAGGGAAAGAGATTAGAGAAACAATACCTAGCCTTTTTGACACCAGGGACTGGTTTCACGGAAGACAAATTTTCCATGGACTGAGGGGATTAGTTTCTTTTTTATTAGTATATGTTTGTTATACACAATAGTTGCATTCCCCAGCTCTAGCACCACTGCCTCAGCTCCACCTCAGATAAGTAGGTATTAGGTTATCATAAGGAGCGGACAACCTAGACCCCTGACAACCTAGACCCCTTACGTATGCGGTTCACAGTATAGTTCTTGCTCTCATGAGAATCTAATGCCACTGCTGATCTGACAGAAGGCAGAGCTCAGGCAGTAATTGGGAATGACGGGGAGCGGCTGTAAATACATTGAAGCATGGCTTGCTCACCTGCCCTCACCTTCTGCTGCCTGTGGCTTGGTTCCTCACAGACAACAAACCAGTATTTGTCCATGGCCTTGGGATTGGGGACCCTTGAATTAGAGTCTCATCATAAAATATTTAGCCCTCTTTTCAAAGAAAACTGTCTTTGAATATGTACTAATATGTTTAGCCACAACATTTAAACTGGAAGAATTTATACATGAGGTGATGTATAACATGAATATTATGTGTCCAGTTTCATGAATATTTTTCCCTTAGCCCTGCACTTACACAGACATTTCAAGACAGTAGCCTTCGGTTACCTTTGCCTCTTTATTTAAGCATACTGCTTTATTATGTGAGTTACACATATTTCATGACATACTGAAAATGTATTTTAAAAAAACTAATAATACAGATTTCTAGTGAAGGCCTTGAACGTGTTCCCATGAGCATTGTAAATTTGAAATAACTGTAAAATAATAGTTCCAGCCATAGGACTAATTTCACATGTGGAACTGATCTCAACACAGCCCAGTTTTGAATTCAGATATATTTCCAGTTGCCTAGCAATTATGTCTGTCTTTGCTCATCTAGGAATAACATATGGACCTGATTTTATTTCCCAATTCTAAGTGCCCCTTGGCTTTCTTTCTGAGGACATGTAGCAAATAATAAAATTAACTAAGTAACAGTAACTTTCATTTTTCTCCTTTTCTACTTTTCTCTGAAAACTTCTAATAAATTAACATGTAGACAAAAATTTGCTGAAAGATAGTGATACAAAAATTGTATCAAATGTCATATCCCATATAGTGAGCACCAAAAAAGAAACTCATTTCAGTGATTTTCATAGTTGAGATTGGTGAACCTCAATGGAACTCAAAATATACAAGAGAACAGTATTATTCCACAGAAGTAATCTAGGTTATCTCTTAAATTACTGACTTTTATACTACAAAATATTTAGCAGTTTATTTCTGGAAATAATTTTTATTCTATCTAATAAAAGAGAACTATTATGTTATTAGAGCTGGGTGTGGTGGCACATGCTTATAAACTCAAAACTCAGGAGGCTGAGGTAGGGGGATCACTGTGAGTTCAAGGCCAACCTGATCTAAATAGCAAGACCCTGTCTCAAAAAATCAAAGAAATAAATTTTAAAAATCCTCAATGATTTCCCATTAATTTTGTTTTGGGTATGTTGAAAGAAATGAGTACTCCACACAACATTTTTTTTCACTATTTTCTTTTTTTATTAATATTTCGTGAACAATTAAAGTTTCACAAAAATAATAAGAGCATAACAATAGTTAATACACTGTCTATCATTATCTTCAAAGTAGTTTGGTTTATGTCTTATTCTCTGAGTATTCGCAGAATATTTTGGCCCAGTGAAGAAATCTGGGATTTCAAAATACATGATCTTTTGATTGAAATATTAGATTATCTAAACATGTTTATTTAATCAATAGCCATTGCAATATCAAAATCATGTTGCCATCATTGTTCCAAGTCACTAGTTTGGTCTTTCTTCTCCTAATAATAACTCACTATGTGATCCTAGAAAGATCAATTGCTTTCTTTGAACTTAAATTTCTTCACTTTGCAAGGAGGATAAGAGTGATTAACATTATATAACTTGGCATTCACAATTTAAGGCATAGAATAAATGTTGTAGAGACCGATCACATATTTGGGGAAAGCTTTAAAAATCTCTTGGAAAAAATAGCATTTGGTTAAACCTTAAAAATAGTTTTTATTGATGAGGAACCTATAGTAAGGAAAGCTAATTGTGTTTAAACTGATCTCTGTGAAAAAGGCAGTTCCAAAAATTGGCATAATCCAAAGATTTTTTTCAGCATGTCAATTTTACAATCCAGTAAGTTATTGAAAGAATTTTGAAGTAGACTTCATGCATTAACAGTACCATATACTGCCTCTGATTTTAAACTTTTTATATTTTTACTACATTCCTTTTAGTCAGTCAACTATATGTAATGAAATGACAAAGAAATAAATAATAGCACTTCTCTGATTTGCTGATCTCCCCACTAGAAAGTAGAATATCATGGACTTTCCAGGATGCTAAGTACATGTTCAGTGTGTGGTAATTTGAATACTTTTCATTCTTTAATATTGTGTCTTCAAAACTGTGTAGCGAAGTAAATCCACTGATTCATAGTCTCATCAGCCAGAGTCAGCAAAGGCTCCATTGCATATAGATTTGGTTAGTGTTAACAAGTGCTATAGAATAAAAATGACTCTATATGCTATTATTGCAATCCAGGACCTTAGAAAGCATGTAGTCTCTTTAGACGTCTTTCTTCTGTAAAAACTCTGAGTTTCAGAAAGAAGGTCATAGACACGCTAATGATAGAAAATATACAGCAGTGTTTTGTTCTAGGCAGGAAATAGTCTTTCTACACAGCCTGACAAAGGATAACAAGTTTTAATCTGACCTACGTGCTACAAGGCAGAAAATATAGAACTTGTAGCTGTCACTTATTTTAATAAAGAGAATCAGAAAATGCTGTCATTTTGCACTAGTGGATTTTTACACACTTTCCAATATGTCCTGCCTGTCTATTCCTCAATTAAATAATGGTAAGTTTTTACTTGTTCCTGTTCCTTCAGTCCTTGCTTAGCACTTATCCAAAGCTCATGCTACAATATTCTATCTAAAAATTAACAGCTATGCACATTATTTGTAGTATTGAGAGCAGCAAATCATTTACTTCTAGTTTCTTATGGTCAAATTGGCACTAACACTGTCAGAAACATAAAACTTGATTAATTGTGCATTTCCCTATTATAGATGCTTGGTATGCAACTGCAAATGAATCAATTAGACCATGATTCTTGGTTTCTCCTAATCACTCCAACTGAGAAATGAGAAGCTCTCCAGATACATCATTACAACAGCTACATTCATTTATTCGGCTGGCCCTAGTGAGTTCTTGGCCATTTGTAAATGTGGACCTGGCCTAAGAAAAGGAGAAAAACTGTATGGTCTTTTCGAGTTGTTACAGTTTAGTCTAAAGTAGAATAGCTGAACTTCTTTTTTAACTGATAAGTTCATTCTCCCAATGAAGAACAAAATACTCCTTTGAGGAATGTGGTTTTCTCTAATGTATAGTACAACTAGGCATAGATATTTTAATAAAGGATACAATTTTCAATCTCTTTAGCAATGATCAGTGAATATTCAGAACTAGTTTAAAAATCACATCATACACTTTAAAGTACTTGGTTCAGAATAGTTGCTCATTTCTCTATTATTTTCCCACTTTGTACAGGGTTCTATTCTATATAGTTCACACTATCGACATCTAGTATTTTTGTTGCTTTCTTAATAGTATATGAAGAATTTTTACTTAATTATGGCATTGTATTAGATACTGAGAGAGAAATGTTTATTTATATAAATCTATGAAAATAAATCAAAATTAGAGGCCTGCAACTATTTAAATAAAATTGGGAAAAAAGTCTATCCACATACTAATTCCCCCAAAAAATGATTTTTCTGAATCAGGCACTGCTGTCAGATTTACCTCCTGAATTAGAAGAGATGGATTTCAATCATGCCTCGCTGGAGCCTGATGATACCTCATTCAGTGTGTCTTCTTTATCAGAGAAGAATGCATCAGACAGTTTATGATTGAGGGGAGATATATGATACAGTATTTTGGCTACTTAACAGGTGTGCATTTTAAGATAACTGCATTCTGTTGCTCCACTATTCTTCAGTTGAAAAACCATATTATTGAAAAAAAAAGATATTCTTGTGAAGGATGGACCACATGTAATGGCTACAATGCAAAAAATGTATGTGAAATTTAAAAACTGAGAGAATTTTTTTCCAAACTAATGGTACTCTGGAAAATTTGTATTTAATTTTGAGTAATTCAACTATGAAATTTATTATATCTAATTTCTGAAAGAGATTTGCTTGATTTTATAACAATTTAGTAATAGCTTTAACCAGAAATACAAAAATAAATATATTTCAACATTATCAAGCTACTAAAGCTTGATTTGTCTGGTTTTTGTAGCAATTACATCTTTCTTCCTCTCCTTTCCTATCATCCATATACCTTTTTACTCAGGAAAATGGACTAAACATTGAAAAGAAAACTTTAAAGAACTATTTAACCTGGATGAATCATAGCATTTATTTTTCAACCCCTAAGAGAAAATGATTTAAGCTAACGATTGAAAATTGAAGTAATGACTAGTATGTAATTATATATTGTTGGTGTTCTTTTATATAACCCAAATATCTGTGAGGAGGGGGGAAACACTAAGGAAAGTTAATTAACCAACATAAAGTAAAAAAAGTGACTATGTGTATAGACAGAAAATATTGTAAAATATTAGTCTCAATGACAATTCTTCATTGCTGCAAAAGACAAATATTGGTAAGCTTTAAATTCTACTGGTAAAGTTTTGTAAATTAGTTTAAATATTTCACAGATATTTCAAATATATCACCATCTTTGAAATGTTTTTTTCAGTTCTTACATTTTATGAAACAAGAAGTCAAGGTAAGCCACTTAGATTTTTTAAAAATCTAGTCACTGAGCTATGCCACAAAATTTAACTCATTTCCATGTGAGACCTGTACAGAGCCATCAGCCAAGGATAATATTCAAAAAGAGTTTACTACTTTAGTTGTAAATGAGTCCTTTGAATTTCCTGGATATTATTCTATGAATACACACCTAAAATGGGCATAGTATGCAGTTTTTTCTATTACTATGTACAGACGGCAGCACACTGCAGACAGTTCTTTGCAGATCTTCTTTTCCAGGGTACCAGGTGGCATTACCAATACACATATAAAGGCAAATGCCAACTTCTCTGTACCCTCATAGTGTCATATATTTGTGACTTGGCAGTGTCTAATTGTGTTGCATGATTAAATTACTACCTATTCTTATGTAAAAGCTTAATTAATAACTAGATGGCACCTTTAGTTATCAATTTTCCATTTCAAATATTTAAAAATTTTTAATTGGAGCCAATTTTGATGTTGGAATTCACTGATACAAATTAATGAATGCAGAAGGGCAATCTTGAATGTCTTTAACCATGCAGTGTCCCCTCCGTCCTACACCATAGATAATGCTTATTGATAGTCAATATGTTTTGTTAGCTATTTGTTTGATTTGATATTACTGCCATATTACTGCTATGATTCCTCTGTTAACAGAAATATTTTACTACTCAGGTATGCTCCCTTTTAGCTGAATCATATGGTTCTTTGCAGTGTTTAGTATTATTTGCTGAAAATTCAAATTCTATTTGAAAGAAGAGCACAGAGAAAAAGAACTTCAGATATTAACATTAAATTTATCAGTCACACCAATTTCTTCATGAGTTAGAGTCCTGACTATAGACAACAAAAGTAGAAAACATTTCTTTCTTTTTTTTTTTTTTTTTTTTTTTGGTACCGGGGATCGAACTCAGGTCCTTCCACTTGCAAGGCAGGCGGCGGAACCACTGAGCTAAATCCTCCACCCCCGACAACATTTCTTAAGTAATATGTACAAATTTCAGGACTTCAAATCTCCCCTAAGGTCTCCTTCTTAGTCATTGAGTTTATCTTTTAACTACAATTTCTTCTGTTTCAATTTAAGCCCCATCTTAGTTGGCTCTCATTGGAAAGTACAGACAGGCTTGTCTTTAGTACATAATTTAACATTAAGGATTTATCATTTACATTTTAGAAACTAGTCACTGAATCAAAAATATTTGCTGAGCTCCTAATATAGGGAAGGGACTGTGCTGGACACTGGATTTGTCAGCATGCTGTAGACTTCAAAAGGAAGTATTTCATTTTAACTTTGTCAAGAATATTAATAAAACATATTTAAGTAAAAACTATAATTGATTTAGGTAGTCTTCTGGGTGTGATTCCCAAAGACATCCCACTCTACAATTTTTGGAGGAAGCATAAATGATTCCTTTGTGCTAGTTTAAAGTTCCATTCGAATAGAAGCTAAATGAATCATAACAGTACACTTAGGACTCCTTTTATTTTGGCATTTGTGTTTCGGCAGCAGAATTATTTCTTGTAGCATCACTAGAATTAAAACAAATCTAAAATGAAATATGGCTGTTCTGCAGCAGGAACCAAAAGAAACAGTTTAATCAAGAAAAAGTATCACAATTGACAGAATGAAATTATGCACCACAGATTTTAAAATAGATTTTAAGTTCAAGAATTTTTTTAAAAGTTAGTATGGGCGGGGGGTGTAGTTCAGTGGCAGAGCATTTGCCTAGTACCTGCAACTCCCTGGGTTTAATGCCCAGTAGTGTAAAAAAAAAATAAAGATAGGAAAACAGGAAATATATATATAATTATGAATAAATATGTTTTCAGATATATAGATTAAAGTTGGTTTTGTGATATATTAGAGCAGGAATAGTAGCAGTTTATGATTATTCTTATGAGCATCTTCAGGCCTGAAGGTAAAAATCAGCTTGTGTTTTTCCTTTAGGGCTTTGATGATATTAAAACAAATTATCTGAAGCATCTCTCAAAGAGACAGAATCCAATGTGGAAAAAACCCACTTTTTTTCTATGAACTAACTTTGAACGTCTGCTTTAAGATTAGGATAAACATATATTTCTAAATAGGAAATGTATATTTAAGAGCATTTACCTTTCCAAAATGTGTACAAACAATGAGAAAGTACCTTACTCATTTCAGCAAGCTAAAATTAGTTACAAAAAATGAGAATCGTAGTTTCCCTGGAGAATAGTAAAATTAACACATGCAAAAAATATTGAAATAAAATTGTCCTCTTCACAGAAACTGAGTATGTTTTGTTTTAAGGTCAGTTATCAGTAGAACTTTTGTATTGTTATTTTTTTAATAGAACTCTATTATTTTTGGAGAAGAAGCAACTTAGGTCAAATCATATCCTGTGCTCGTTACACTATATATCCAAGGAGCCATTTCTCTAAAGACAGAAATATCTCTGTTGAGGCCCTTTAATATTCAGCAAGTTCATATATTTGTAGGATTTAAAAGAACTCTGGAGAATCAGGTATGGTGTTGCAAGCCTGTAATCTCAGGACTTCAGAGGTTGAGGCAGAAGGACCTCTAGGCCAGCCTGAACTACATAGTGAAACTCTATCTCAAAACAACAAAAACAAACAAAAAGAATTATGGGCTCTGAAACTGACTTTGTCACCTTTTTTGTCACAGGGACCTTCATCTCATATCCAAGGGAGTTTCCTCATCTCAGCTAGATCATTTGTGATCACTTTTAAGAGAAATTGTGAAAATTTCGACTGCTATCCTTCCTCCACATTGCAGTAATAGTATAACAGGAACATTGACTGGTTTTAATGTATTATATTTTCATTCAAATCTACAAAATGTAAAATTGTGGTCAATTATCATTTTTAGGGAGTGATGAGTGTCATTTAATCTAAATTATGGATAGTTTTTCCCTTTGAAGTTGATGTTATCCTTGGCAGACAGCACCGTATCATGCCCTTCACCAATCTGTCTATGTAATGCTATAATGGAGGAGCCTACTAACATGTGAACATACACTCAACATACCATTGTTTTATACAAGCCATTACTAAAAGCAGATTTGCTAAGGGGGAAAAGAGAATAAAGTGATACTTTCATGCAAATTTTATTATGATTGTTCTATTGAATTATAAATTAAGTATCTAGTTCTCCACATTGAAATATTACTTTGCATTAACTTACTAAGTACATAATTCCTTTTGGCAATCCTGCATCCCATTTTACTTGTACTACCTCTGAAGCATACTATCACCTTAAAACCACATCAGATTGTACCATGAATTTTTGTAGGATTTTTATTTAAACTTTTATAGATGCAATAAATAATTTCCAACTAATAGACAGTTATTTCTTTATTTTAATATTTCTATTTCCAATTCTTGGTGTTGTATTTTTTAAATTTTAAGATGAATTAGTTTCTTCTGAAAATAAGGTTTTGATAAAAAAGATAAATTCAGAGAATAATAGGGTGTTGTCTATTAAAAAGAAGAGAACATTGAATACTCAAGTGAAAATTTGGTTGACTTTCAAACTGATATGTATACCATCTTTAATTGATGTTATTTAACAAAGAACTACCCTGACACCAATGGAATAAAATTAATATTCTGTAAGAGGTAACACATTTGTCTTCAATAGCATAATTAAATGGTAAAACCAGAAAATAAATTGCCATGGTATAAACAAAGAATGGCATTTTTATAATAGTATTTTATATATGATGGTTTTGCATCTAACTTTCCTCGCCTCTATTTGACACTAGTTTAACATGCTTTAATATGTGTAAAATATGTGTGCGCCCTCTTTATCAAAGCCTTATACCAATTAAAAATCTTCATGTTACCTAACTAGTGGAGAACAAAATAGAGTTGGCAAAGGATGAGTTTCAAATAGCACACCAAGCAGTTTTTCTTATTTGATAAATTTTCAAGAGTGTTGTAAATGGGAAAATTACATACAAATATGCATGTCAGATGACTCAGGTCTTTTTCAGATCTGCAAATACATTGACTTAAGATAAAGAAATTCTTTGATTTTATAAAACTGAATGAGGATAATTACAAAACTGTATTAAAATCAAGAAAATAGTATTTACATATGATTGAATGACATTTTCACATCCTTTGAAACTACATGAGATTTTAGATTTTATTTGCATCTTTTAATGAAAGTAATAGATTTTCATTGTACAAATTTTAGAAAAATGTAGAAAATATATAAAAACCACTTATAATTCCACAAACTAATAATGAATATAAACATCTTAGTTTATTCATTCTAGTCATTTCTTCTATATATTACATATATTTAACAAAACTGGCATTACACTGAAAATACAGTTATATGTATCTACTTTTTCTGTATGACTATTTGCCACCAAAGTATTTTCCACTCAATTACATTTGAACCTTAATAGAAAAAAAATTTAATTTATACAAAGAAAATAAAAGCAAAATTCATATTGATGAAAATAAATTTATTCTAAGGAATTAACATTTAGGTGCCTCACATGAAAATTACGCCTCTTAATGGAGTTGAAAACAAATATCGCAGCATATTTACCATAACAATAATAAAATTGCTATACTTTAATGGTGAATTACAAGATATTTCTCCTTAACTTTTCTACCCAAGTACTGTAATGTTTTGTGATTTACTCTAGTAAATCATGCTAATTCAAACATAGAAGAAAAATAATTTTTACCTATGAATGTTTTTCTGTTGAATATATATATATATATATCGATACACACTTGAAATTATTACTTTTTAAATAATTCAATTGGAATGTAGGTACAATTTTTCTCTAGAGAATAAGGTTATTCCTTTTTATTATTGTACTCCTTTTAAGCCAGCCTATTGGGAAGTTTGGGAAGTTTTGCCTATTTTGGATTTTGTTGTGTAATAACAATTTATATTTATATTTCAAATCCATTGCATACTACAAAGGTATATCCAAACTATTACTATCACCTACTTCCTTTACTAACTAAGCCATATTAAATTCTAATCTGTCCCAGTACCTAAGTCACTGCCTAGTCAAAAATGTAAATCTTTAGAGAGGCTTAATAATTGTTTGCAGCTTTTAAGAGTCTACTGAAATGTGTGACTCTAATAATGTTGGAACTGATATCAATAATATTTGTTAGCTTAAATTGGGTAGTTTATACTTCTAAGACACAGGACACAGATTTGAACTTCAATCAGGTCAATAAGTTTATACAAAACAAAAGTTCCTTCTACTACAGGGTCACCATGTACCTGTATTTTCAATCTTGTTTTGCAGTCTGTAACTAGTCAAAAGGAAGGGTAGGAGTATTTGCCCGTTGATGAATATAATTCACCTTATAGGTTGTTTAAATTGATAAAATAATGGATATTGGGGAGGGTTTTTTGTTCATCCTCATCCCATGCCTCTATTGGAAGTTTATTTGTAATAATTTATTGGAGATAATTTGTTATCAAATGCAGTTATCCTTGCCAATATAGGAACCTATCAGACATTATTCATCAATGGTGGTATATGTTTACTTAACTGCATTCTTTACAACATTGCATAAAGAATAGGATATCAAGGAAAAAGATAGCTAAGAATGTAGATGTTTAAAATTGGACAAAGACAATGAGAAATTTGCTAGAAGTCTTGAGGAGGTCATCACAATAACAGTAACTAAGTGGGTATTGGGTAGGGTAGAGAGCGTTCTAGATTCTAAAATCTAGACTATAAAGGCCTACATAGTAGTATAGTTCAAGAACTACAGTTAAATATTGTACAAGTTCAGTTGTGGAGTCAAATCTCAGTTTTAAAAATTGCTGGATGTGTGATTTTAGGTATTTGACATCTTTGTGTTGTTAATTGTGATTAATGATAGTACTTATAGAGTTTTGAGGATTATAACCTGTCGTAAATTGCTCAGCATAATGCCTCATAAACAAATTCTTAGTAAGTTCTTCAACATCATCATCATCATCATCATTATTATTATTTTTATATCCTGTAAAGGGGATTGAAGGGATCCAAAGACAACTCTGACCCAACCATTTTGTCTTGGGCAGAAATGGCTTAATGCAAACATCCAGGCGAAAGAAAATATATATCAAAATAATTTTATGTACATATAGTATCTGACGAGTAGAGATGTCCTACTCAAAGGACAATGCAATCTTATTGTACCCTCAGTGATCTTCTTACTGCCTTGGAGAGTTAATGGCTATTCTGACTTATCTTCTTATGGTAGGTGCTGCTAAAATATGTGAATAGGGGTGAATTTGGTTCATCATCTTGCATTGAATAAAGTATCAATGCCCTATGACAAATTTTACACACATATTTATCTGTTACCTCTTTTGTAAATAGATTTTATAATCTAGTATAAAAAGCCCTTTATGGAAAAATCTAGTACTTAAAAAAATCATTTGGCTTTTTATGTGTCAAATGTTGATCCCCAGTTTAATGTGTGAATTTCTGAAACATTTTAAATATCATCTCAGAAAATTTAATTTAAATTTATTTATCTTGATATTTGTTTTCATCAAGTGAATTTAATCAGTTATTACTGGTTCTGGAAGAGCTAAACTACCTTATTCTGTTCAAGCATGTTTTATTTATCATGGGATTCTGCATAAAATACTTCACATTCTCCTTGACTTAAGGGTTTGTATTGAAAAGACTGCTGTGATTCTGATAGGCTTTCCTTTATAGGGGATTTCTTTTCTCTGATAGCTTTTAGTATTTTGTTATTGTGTTGAATCTCTGGAATATTTACTATTTAATGCCTTAGTGTAGACTTTTTATCATGGCTTATTGGAGTTGGATATGCCTCACTTATCTGTATGTCAAATTCTTTTTCCATGCTTGGAAAGTTTTGTGCCATTAATTCTGTGAATGGGTTTTTTCATGTCACTTGCACTATATCACTTGCTTTTTCATTGACCTCGATTAATCTTACATTATTCTTCTTTGCATCACCTAGCAATTGTTGGAATGATTTTTCATGGTCCCTTGCTTTTTTAAAGAAATCTTTCTTTTCATGAACACTAACTTCAAACCTGTCTTCTAGCTCTGATATTCTGTCCTCACATTTGTTAATTCTGCAGTGCATATTTTCAATCAAGTTTTTGTTTTGTTTTTTTGAGAGAGGGTCATACTTTGTTTTCTTTTTGTTTTTGGTTTTGATTTTAGTTTTTTTTTTGTACCAGGGTTTAAACTCAGGACCTCACGCTTGCCAGGCAGGTGCTGTGCCACTGAGCTACATCCCCAGCATTTTCAATTGAATTTTTAATCTCCTGGATATTTGTTTGAATATGTTACTTCTGCTGCCATTTCAGGGAGTTGAGGTGGGTGGCTTTGAAATTCTTCCACCTCAGTGCCCCCTGGCTTGGCTTTTTTTGAGCTGGAAGTCTGGCATTGCATCTTGTTTCCATGTCTTCTCATTTTCTTTCTTTCTTTTTTTTTGGAGTTGTAGTTCTCGCATTGATACTTGTAAATTGCTTATGGTAGGTAGCTTTATTGCTAGTATTGAGAACTCTTTAGGAAATGAGTACTTTTCAGAGTTGTCTTCTAGGTGTAACTGGCTTTTGGCTTTTGAGCCTGTTGCAAGATGCTGCCTCTTCAATTTATTGGGCATGAGAAGTTGCTGCCTGTTTGACTTAGCCTCTGGTCCTTTGATACTGACCTATGATATTTTTTGTGACTCTCAGGAAATCACGGTTTTGGCATACAAGGAAAAACAACTGATTAGAACAACTGTGTTACCTTGGCTATAGCAGTACAATCAATAATGACAATACCATGAAGCACAGCCTAGAAAATGACAAACTGTGGTAACAATTAATTTCCCACCTTTAAGCATATAAACAAGTTTGTAGCTATGTAACAAAATCTAAAACAAATTAGAAAATTATATAAGTAAATATCCCCTCAATATAGCAATTTTCAGCTCAGGGAAGAAAATTTGAAAGGGTGAAGAGGAAAAATAGAGAAATAGGAGAAAGAGATTAGAAGTAAGGCTGAATGAAAAAGGAAGATTACACAAGTTTTGGGAAGTTAGTGAAGAAGACAGGAGGAATAAAGAGAAGAAAGAAACGGACTCAGAGAAGCAGTGAGTTGGCTCCACCTCAGTCCTCTCAGTGTCAGGGTGAGGCATAGTCATGGGAGACACTTAGGGTCAGGGAGCCAAGATCAAGCTAGCAAGAGGAACCCACTGTGTTTTGGACTGAACAACTCAGGTCTAAGACTCAAGCTAGAAACCAGGACCAGCCTAAACTTCAGTGACGTTGAAAGCACAGGCTTACTGAGTTATCCACTACCCTGCTTGTTGGGATCAACCAATATGGATCTGAACTCTGTCTGCCCCATTGGTCTACCAGTGACAGCAAAGACACACCATGAAGTGGACATTTTTTTCTCTTTTTCTTTGCATTTTTCTTCTTGATTGTTTGTTCTTGTTTTTATGAGTGGGAACATTATTTCTAGCTTTTTTGTTGTTGTTTTGTTCTGTTCTTTCTTTTGTGTCATTACTTTTCTAAAGACATGTTTTATATTTACATGCAGCCTTCCTTCTACTTTATACATGAGCACAAATTTTGCTTTCACAGGGTTACGCTTTCT